TTCTCAGTTTTGGTAGTTTCTATTTAGACATCCTCAAGCTCAGAGATTCTTTCCTCTGCTGTGTCCAGTGTACTAATAAAGCCATCAAAGTCATTCTTCATTTCTGTTCATTCTTCAGTGTTTTTATGTCTAGCACTTCTTTTTGGTTCTTTCTTAGCATTTCCATCTCTCTGTTTACAATGCCCATTTATTCTTCCATGCTCTCTACTTTATCATTAGAGTCCCTGGCATATCAATGATAATTGCTTTAAATTCCTGGTCTGATAATTTCAACATTCCTGCTATACCTGAGTCCGGTTCTGATGCTTGCTCTGTCTCTTCCAACTGTGTTTTTTGCCTTTCAGTATGTCTTGTAATTTTTTGCTGACAGGAAGATATGATGTACTGGGTAAAAGGAACTGCTGTAAATAGGCTTTCAGTAATGTGGTGGTAAGGAGTGGGGCACGTGGAAGAATTCCACAGTCCTGAGGTTAGCTATCAGTCTTACGGAGCCTGTGCCTCTGAACTATGAACCCCATACGGCCTAGTCAGGTTTCCTCCCCTGCTCCCTTAGTTGGACAGGGTGGTGAGAGTGGGCTGCGAATGGGTATTCCCTTCCCTCAAGTCAGTTAGGCTCTGATAAAACCTTAGCAAGGTAGGCTCTGGTTGAAGAGTTTCTCTTGAGGGCAGATCTTGTTAAGAAGAACAGAATGTTCTGGCATGTTTTAAAATGGTTCCCCCTACTGTCAGCACAAAGGGATTTTTTTCTTTGATATTCACTGAGCAAAACTGGTAGCGCTCCAGGAGGTAAAACTCACAACAGTATGACTGGGTTCCCCTAGGGGTTTCATCTCTCAGACTTGACCTCACTGAGCCTCCAGCAATTTTTTCCATTACCATTCAGGTTTCCCTGCACTGGCCCTGAGTCTCACAAAGGTTTCTGCTCTGATAAGCTGTGATTCTCTGTATCTGCCTGTCAGTCTCTCCAACTTTGGGGGCAGTGGTTTGTCCTGTGATGTCACTTCTCTGACAGATCTAAGAAGAGCTGCTGATTTTTCAATTTGTTCAGTTTTTTACTTGTTAGAATGAAGTGGCAACTTCCAAGCTCTTATATGCTGGACTAGAAAGTGGTAGTATTCTTTGGGATACTGTTTAGATTGGATCATGTGATCTGCAAATAGACATAGCCTTACTTATTCCTTTCTAGTTTAGATGCCTTTATTTCTGTTTTCTTGTCTAGTCTTCTGGCTAGAATCTCCAGTAAAATGTTAAATAGTAATGGTCAACATGGGAATCTTTGTCTCATTCCAGATCTTAGGGAGGAAGTTTTCAATCATTCACCATTGAGCATGTTAGCTGTGTGTTTTTCGTAAATGCCTTTACCATGTTGAGTAGGTTCCCTTCTATTCCTAGCTTTTTGACAGTTTTTATCATGAAACGATGCTGGATTCTGGGAAATGACTTATGTGCATCAAATCAAGATGATCATGTGTTTTTTCTTCTTAGGTTCTATTAATGTGATGTGCTACATTTATTTATTTTCTTACTTTGAACCACCCTCGTATTGCTGGGATAAACCTCACTTTATCATGGTGCATAATCCTTTTAACGTGGTTTTGGATTTGGTTTGCTAGTATTTTGTTGAGCAATTATGCATCTTTATTCATTAGGAGTACTGATCTGTAATTTTCTTTTCTTGTGGTATTTTTAACACGGCCTAGGTACCATGGTAATGCTGGCATTACAGAATGAGTTAGGAAGTGTTCCTTATTCTTGTATTCTTTGGGAGAGTTTAAGAGGGATTGGTATTAATTCTTTAAACATTTGGTTCAATTCACTAGTGAAGCCATTTGGTCCTGGGCTGTTCTTTGTCAGGAGGTTTCTTATTACTGATTCAATCTCCTCACCTATTACAGGTCTGTTGAGATTTTCTATTTTGTCTTAGGTCAGTTTAGGTAATTTGTGTGCTTCTAGAATTTGTCCACTTCATCTAGTTATTTGCTTTGTTGGCACAGAATTGTTCATCATATTCTCTTATAATCCTTTTGCTTTCTGCTGATAGGTAGTAATGTATCCACTTTCATTTCTGATGATAGTTATGTTTCTGCCCTCCCTCCCTCTCTCACCCTCTCTGTTGGTCTAGAGAAACTTTTGTCAATTTTGTCGATCTTTCAAAGAATCAACTTTTGGTTTCACGCATTCTCTTTATTATTTTTCTATTCTAATTTTATTTAACTCTGCTCTAATCTTTATTATCTCCTTCCTTCTGCTAGCTTTGAGTTTCCTTTCTCTTCTTTTTCTAGTTCTGTAAGATATAAAGTCAGGTTACTGATTTAAGACCTTTCTTCCTTTTTAATATAGGCATTTACAGTTATAAATTTCCCGCTGAGCAATGCCTGTGTTGCATCTTATGTGGTGTTTTCATTGATTCATCCCTAGGTATTTTCTAACTCCCTTGTGATTTCTTCTTTGATCCTCTGGTTGTTTAAGTGTCTTGTTTAATGTCCACACTTTTTTTTTAACATTCCGGTTTTTCTTATGTTATTGATTTCTAGCTTCATTTCATTGTGGTTGGAGAAGGTACTTTGTATGACTTCAGTCTTTTTACATTTATTGAGACTTATTTTGCTGGTCTAATATTGGTCTATCCTGAACAACGTGCCATGTGCACTTGAGAAGAACGTGTACTCTGCTCTTGCTGGGTGGAGGGTTCTAGATAGGTTTGTTAGGTCTAGTTGGTTATAGTGTTGTTCAAGACCTCTATATCCTTATTTATCTTCTGTCTATATGTCCTATCTGTTATTGGAGGCGGGGTATTGAAGTTGCTAACTGTTATTCAAGAACTATTTCTCCCTCCGATTCTCTTGAAAAGTATTCTCAATGGAGTGACGATTCCTAAAAGCTTTTAGAAGGGCCAAAATAGTTTTAAAATTTACATGTGTATACCTTTAAACCAAGAAATTTCACTTTTTTCTTTTTTGAAGAAGCTTAGCCCTGAGCTAACATCTGCCACCAACCCTCCTCTTTTTGCTGAGGAAGACTGGTCTTGAGCCATCATCTGTGCCCATCTTCCTCTACTTTATATGCAGGACGCCTACCACAGCATGGCTTGATAAGCAGTGTGCAGGTCCATACCTGGGATCCAAACCGGTGAACCCCGGGCTGCCAAAGTGGAACGTGCCAACTTAACTGCTGTGCCACTAGGCCGGCCCCAAGAAATTGCACTTTTGGAAAATGTCCTAAAGAAGTGATAGTATGATAATAATCATAGTAACACCAATTCAGCCTTTACTTTGTGTCAAGCCCTGGGCTAACCATTTTAAATGCATTAATTTATTTATTGGGTAGTTCTATCACTATTTCAAATTTATAAACGATACAAGAGATTTTGAGTGTGTGATCAGTAGGTCAATACAGGTAATTCAAAGTTTTCAGTGCAGCAGTGTTTGTTACAGAAAAAAATACAAAGCAAATTGTTAGAGAGAACATGGTACTGGGAGCTGGAAAACCTGAGCTTAAATTATACTGTATCACTTATGACTACAAAATTCTTAACTCTTTTGGGTCTCAATTTCCTCAAATGCAAATACGCTCTAAGATTCTTTCCAATTTGCACTTTATGATTGTTGTTCATTACTTGAATTATCTAAGATAGTGCTGGAAACAGAGCAGTCTCTGACTGAAAACTATTCGAGATGGTAATGTAATGACTTCCATACACTAATCCTGCTCTAGAAGCATACGTGTTTACAGAAGAAACAATTCTATTTTGAAAAGCTAACCGAGACTGTGTAATCATGATGAATCAAAAAAGTAAAACAAAACAACGCCCCCTGCAAACAAAGAAATAAAATCTAGAGTTTATATCTGTGTTTATAGCAGAGAAACCTTACTCGTATCACTGACATTCAATCATCAGAGAAAAAGCAAGTTCTGATCAATTCTACTACATCATTCATTAACTGATTTAATACACTTATTAAACAAGTATTAAATATATGGTCCTTTGCCAGGTTAATAATATACTAGTCTGTTTTCAATAAGCTAGGCCACAGTTTGAGGGGGAGACACTGTTAAAAAATAGTTACAATAAGAGCTTTGCTAAAGTTATTAACAGAATCCTATAGCAGCACAGAATAAGAAATACTTAGACTTCCTGAGATAACATTCAACTTGATTCTTGTATTTGCCAGATGAATAAGACCCTAGACTAGGCACGGTTACACAAGGAGTGGGTGGAGGCTGGAGGCTGACAGACAGTGCAGAGGAAACAAGATATGCAAAGGGTAGGGTCAACCAAAGGCAGACATCATATTCACATTATAATTTAGTGTTGTACAAATATGATGTCAACTTAACCCTAACTCTCTCACTTTGACATACATAATCTTAATATTACTGAGCACTTATAAATTGCGTCAGCTTACGCACATATATATACACTCCTTACATAAAAGCAACGAGACAGGGTTTTACAGATGAGAAAATTAAGATCCAAAGAGGTTAAATGTTTTGTCCAGCATTACACAGCTAGTAACCGATGAGGCTAGAGTTTAAAACCAGGTAGTCCACTTCTAGAGCTGGCACAAGGATTTCCCTTGCTAAGCATTTCTGCTGAGATGTGCCAGCCCATGCCCATTATCATCTCATCTCACCTAACAGAAGTATCTGCAAAGCTACCTCTGAGCCTCCCCTAGGTCAATTACAAGATACAGGGTCTGGCGAGCTAACGCCTCCCACGCAGACTGCCAATACCTCTTGTCCAGGTACACAGCCTGTCACAAATATTTTAACTCCCTCCAGAAAATTTCTTCTCCCCACTAAACACAGGCTTCCCTTTCTGTCCAACATGATTAGGAAGTCCGTATCAGTTCACTATTGGCAAGAAAGAGAATTAAGAACACTAGGTTTGAAAGATAGCTAGTTTTCACTCTACACCAAAGAGAGCACATAGCTAATTCTTATGAAGCCTAAAGAGGAGATTATTAATTCGACTTCATAAATGTGAAATCAAATGGTACCTTCAGTCCCTCCAATTCATTTTCCAGTTGCTTAGAGTAGTGCTCGCTCTGTTCACGCAATTTCCTGTCTTTAGATGCTTCAGCAGCTACAGCTTCTGTGTGAACTTCCAGCTTTAAAATAAAATGAAAAAAGCAGATTTCACGGTTATAATTGCTTTTCCAAAAGAATGTTTTTCCCCCATGGGAATCTACCTTGTAATAGGAAGATAACTCAAACTTTGAAATTATTAAATAATATTACCAAACTAAAAAAATAACTTTTTTCAAAAATTAGAGAATGAAATACATATTATTTCACTAGTCTGAAAAAGCAGCTTTAATCACTACCCCATGGGCACTACAAAATTTGCCTGACTACTAACCTCTTTTTTGGCTCTTTCTGTTCTGCGCAGTTCTTGCCTTAAGCTTTCAACTTTTTGCATCACCAGGTCCACCTCTTCTTCCTTATCTCGGACGTGGCGAGCAAGTTTCTGTTTTTGGGCGTGCAATTCTGTTAGCCGCTCATTGATCTCCATGAACTCCTGCATGGCCAGTTTCCTCTGACAGTGTGCGTCTTTCAGCTCTTTGGACTGGTTTTTTAATCGCTCACTAGCCTGGACTAGTTCCTACAGTTTTGTAAAAAGAATATAAGTTACCAATTCTGCAACCTAGGGACCAAATTTGGCCATCAAAGTAGCTATCATGAAGTTAAGAAGGGCCAAAATTATTCAAAATTAAAAGAAATGAACTACTTTTGGACAGATCCTAAGAACACGGTGCTCTGTTCACGTCCTTAATTCCTTATGCTAGCAGGCTAACTGCAAAGGAACAGCTGATCCAACCTTCTAGTACCTCAGTTTCTACAAATAAAGACTATAAGATACAAGACATGATGGTCACAATAAAGGTTTCATGAAATCAATGGATATTTGTGAAATTAAAAAAAATTATACTGAATGATTACAAATGATTAAAACAAGGGTTGCTCTTGATGTGAAAACTAAACTTTAGGCCAGAAGCAAGGAGAGAAAGCTAAATTTCCTGGCTAAAGTGCGAAACTTAAGAGGAGGCTAAAGTAGACTCAAGTCAGTAGAACTACCTGCCTCCCAGGAAAAGGAAATGCAAATCTTCTTTGAGGAAAAGAGCCTCAAATCTACGTTTTTTAAGAGCACACAAACATGAGCTTACAATCATAGATTCCCAAACACCCAAAGACCAAACAAACATAAGCAAACAACAGAAACAATAAAAATAAACCTCAATAGTATTTGGATATTAGAATTATCAGATATCTACATAAAATTGCTTTGTATGAAATGTTTGAAGAAATAAAAGGAAATCATAAAAATGGGGAAATGACAAAAGACTATCAAAAATGACCAGGTAGATTTATAAAACAACTTTATGGAACATTTAGAAATGAAAAAAATATGTGTTAAAGACATGAATCCACCAACACAGGAAGCTCTAAATTTATGAAGAAAAATAAGAAGTAACTCAAATCCAGAAACTCTTAAAAAATAAAATTATATAACACCAAATTAAAAAAAAGTCCTTAAAAGAAATCAAAGCAAAAAGACAAATCACCTATTCTCCATCCTCAAAAAAAAAGGATAATTAGACTCAGAGCAGACATCTAAGAAGTTAACAATAGAAACATTGGAAAATATGTTTAAAGAGATGAGAAAATAATTAAAATTGTATACCCAGGAAAATTACTTTCAAATGTGAGGCTAAAATAATGAGATTCATATAAAAAAAAATTGAGAGTTTACCACAGTCAGATCTGCACTAAAGGAACATCTAAAGGTTCCTTTCAGGAAAAATAAAAATGATTTCAGAAGGAAGGTCTAGTGAAAAAGAAACGGAGGGCTAAGAAATTAGTAAACGCAAATATGAATGTAAACAAACGTATATAAGATTGCATTATATATATGTCTCAGTACAGTAAACAAGGATATAACTAAAATATTGGTCAAAAAGAGCACAGAAATTGGGAAGAGGCAACAGAGTTTAAGGTCCTTAAATTGTTTGGAAGGAGTGATTTATGATATTAAATTGAGTCTCTGTTAAATATGCATGATAAAATTCAAAAGTAACTATGAGAAACTGCTAGAACGTGTAGTGAGTAAAATGGGAACAAGAAAACAAATAAAAACCTCAATTTTTTAAAAATCAAGGAAAAATTTTGCAAGATGAAAAGAATTCTGGAGATTGGTTGCACAAAAATGTGTACTTTACCGAACTGTACACTTAAAAAATGGTTAGGATAGTAAATTTTATGGTATATATATTTTACTACAATTTTTAAAAAAACAAGAAAGAGGACAAAGATAAGCATTGAAAAGCATGACAAACAGAAAGCAAAAAGTGATAGAAACATGTCCATATACAGGAGTAATCAAAATAGATATAAAAGGGCTACATTCACCAGTTAAAGGCAGTTTGTTATACCAAATTAAGAAACAAAACTTTAGATTTTAATAGAACAAGCATTATTAAGAATAGGGAATGTCACCACACAATGATAAAATTCAATTCACTAGGAAGAAATGCCATTGTAAACTTTTGTGCATTCCAAAAGATACTCTCAAAATATATTAAAAAGAAATTGTTAGAACATCATAGAAAAATAGGTGAACACATCACCATAATGAGAAATTTCAATTTCTCAATCATTAATAGATTGCAGTTAAAAAAATACTGAACATAAAGAAAATTTGAAAAGCTCAATTAACAAGTTTCATATATAGCAGCTTGCACCAACATTGGAAACACAAATTCTCCTCAAACATATATTGAACATTTAAAAGTGAAACAGTCTGGGCCACGAAGTGAGTCTTAGTAGATTTCAAAGAACAGATATCATACAAATCAAGTTCTTTGTAACATTACCATTAAAATAGAAATCAAAAATAAAAAGGCTAAATTCCACAACTCAAGGAGAAAAATCATAAAGGATATTAAAATATTTATAACTAAAAAAATTTGAAAATAAAAAAAACAATAAAAATGTCTAGTACATACTAAAACTTGGGGATGCAGTAAAAGGTATACTTAAGGGAAAATTTATCGCCTGAAATAATTACATTAAAACTAAAAAAAGAGGTTGAAGTTCAATGGAATTTCACACAAAACGTTAGAGATAGAACAACACATTAACCTTTCTCCTCAATATGCGAATATAATAAAGATAAAAGCAAAAATTAATGAAAAAGAAATGTGAGAATAATGAAGATCAACAAAGTCAAAAGCTGATTCTTTGAGAAAAATAATAAAACGGGCAAACATCTGGTGAGATCAAACAGGGGAACAAGAATACACGCACAGAGAAACCATATTAAGAAAGAAAAAGAGGTTATACATACAAATCTGAAAGTGTTAAAAAAATAATAAAAGTACAATGAAAAACTTTATGCTACTAAATCTGTTGGCTTATGAAATGAACAAATTCCTACAAAAGTACAATTTATCAAGTGTTTCAAGAAGAAATAGAATGCCTGAATAGTCCTATTACAATAAAAGTAACTAAACCAATAGTTAACAAACTTTCCCCACTCCCTCATGGGAGAGAATCTCCAGGCTCAGATGGTTTCACAGGTGATTCCCCCAATGTTTCAAGAACAAAATGGTTCTCTTACACAAACTTTTCTAGAGAACAGAAAAATAGGCAATGCTACCCAACACATTCTATGAGACCAGTATAATCTTGGTATCAAAAAAAGACCAGAAAGATAAGAGAAAAAAATTACAAGCCAATCTTATTGACAAAAACAAATTAAAAATGCTAAAAAAAGATATTAGCTAATTAGTTTCAGTGATGTATAACATGGATCAGCATCAAGTCTGGAACTAGACTCCTTGTGTCAAAATTCCAGCTCCACCACTTTGTAGCCCTACGATCTTGAGCAAGTGTACTTAACTTCCCTGTGTTCAGCCTCACCATTTGTAAAATGAGTATAACAATAACAATAGTTATTATTATTATGTAGTTATAATATTTTTATTATATTCCTATTAACATTAGAAAAAATCTATAAATGTAATTCACCAGATCAAGTTATTAAAGGAGAACAATTATATTATTACAGCAATAGACATTAACAAATTCCTAGATATTCGTTGCAATAGTGTGCAGAAAAGTACAATTTAATAAATTCAATACCCATTCTTGATAAAAATGATTAGCAAAACAGGAACAGAAGACAACTTCCTTAACCTGATAAAAAGTATTTACCAAAAACTTACAGAAAACATTACTAGTGGTTAAATATTAAAGGCATCGTCTTTGAAATCAGGAATAAGACAGGGATGCCTGCCACCACACTTCTATTCAGCATGGTACTGGAGGTCCTAGCTAATACAGTAAGAAAGGAAAGAAAGAAGAGTCATAAAAATCAAAAAAGGAAGAAACAAAACTGTCATTATTTGCAGAAAACCTTAAAGAATCTCAAACATATTATTACAATTAATGAGTTTAGCAATGTTAGAACAAAATCAGCTAGAAAACATAATTTTTAAAGATATTTAAAATACGAAAAAATATTGGGAAAAATAAATTTAAGGAAAGGCAAACAAGATCTGTATAAAATTTTACAGAAAACCATTCTGTAAGACTTTAAAGACAGAGAGTATACCATGTTTGTGGATAAAAAGACTGTGGAGCTGTCAAGAAAATATTTTTACATTTTTGTATAGTTTGGCTTTTCTAAGCAATTTTACTGAAACTTGGGACCTGGGGAAAAGCAAGCCTTTTAAAGTAATTTATGATTAATTTAGATAGTGAGAAAACTCCAAAGAGATTTAAGTCCTGGACATATGTGTTTACATTTCAGAGGGGTGGGAGGGAGATAAGAGCCTGGACCAGGGAGATATCCTCTGCACAGAGCTGGAGAGCAGGGCTTGTCTTTCCAGTGGAGTGATTTATTTCTATGCCAAAGGGTCCTAGACCCTTGCCTTTAGGTTTCCAAGGAGACTCTCAGAAGGGTGGGTGGAGATGGTGGAAGCAGGAAGCATCTGCCCCTCTCCTCTATATAACACCCTGATTCCCTTCCTCGCGGCTCCTCGTCTACAATACAGACTCTGTATGTGTAGGGTTTTATCCATCCAGCTCTCACTGAGTGGTCCCAGAAGTAAGAATTGGCACACAGAGGAGCCATGTGGTTATTTTTTTGCTGTATGTAAATCATGACAATTTGTTCCGCTCTTAAAATCTGTGCATTTTAAATAATATTAATAAATATGGATAGTAAGACTGTAAAGACTCAACATTGTAATAATGTCAATTCTCCTGAAATTGCTTTATAGATTAAATGCAATTTTAATCAAAATCCCACAACAGCTTTCAAGGAATAGAGAGTTGAGATACAGACTCGTGCATAAACATAAATTTAATACATGACAGAGGTGACACTCCATCAGTGGGGAAAGGAGGACCCAATTAGTAAATGAACAACTGGTTAGCCATACAGGGAAAAAGTGAAATTGGATTCTTATCTCACGTGACATGCAAAAATAAATTTCTGGTATATTAAAAATTTAAATATGAAAGACCAAACTTAAAAAATTTGAGATAAAAATTTAGGAGAATTATTTTTTACATCACATTTCTTACACAAGCCAGCAAAAACACTAATCATAAAAATAAAGATTGATAAATTTGACTAAATTAAAACTGAAAACCTTTGTTAATCAAAGAATCCCATAAAGAAAATGAAAAGACAAGCTACTAACTGGGAGACATCTGTAACATAACTGATAAAAAATTAACGCATCCAGAAATTTTCAAGAATTCTTACTAACCAATAAGAAAAAGACAAACAGCCCAACAGAAAAATGCACAAAGGAGAGTAAGAGTCATTTCACAAAAGAAGAAATATAAATGATAAGTGGACATATGTGAAGATAGTCAACCTCATTAGTAATTTGAGAAATGCAAATTAAGGCCATAATAAAACATCATTTTATACATAAAATATCAATATAAACTAGGTTGGCCCCAAATAATATATCTAGTAATATTAAGTACTGTTGAATATGAAAACTCCTATATACTACTGGTAGGAGTATAAATTGGTTCAATCAGTGGAAAATGATTTGGTATTGTTATAAAAAAATAGAGTATTTGCGTTGCTATGACCCAATTATCCTACTCCTGTTTGTGCATGTGTGTGTATCAGGATGCATGTTCAAGAATGTTCAAAGCGGTATCACTTATAGTAGCTATCAATTATAAATATGTAATTTATAACTGATATATAATATCAATTATATGCAAATATAAATGTGAACAAAAAATTGGATGAATTGTGGGGTGTTCACATAATGGTGTATTATATAGCAACAAAGTGACAGCTACATGGATGAATCTTAGAAATATAACATTGAATGAAAAAACAAATTGCGAAAGGTTGCATATGCTACGAAGTTCAAAAACAAGCAACACTAAATTATATATTGTTTAGAGATATACTAATATGTGATTAAAAAATGTTTAAGTACGGGAATGATTAACATAAAATTCAGAAAATTAATTACCAGTTTCAGGGAAGCGAGGAGACAGGGATAGGAAATGACTACCCAGGGCTACACCACAAAGTAGGTAATATTCTCTTTCTTAAGTTAGATGGTAGGTTCACAGGTGTTCATTTTATTGTTTGCATCAAAACTTACAGAATGTTACATTTATTCTTTTATATGCATTAAATTAAAAAAATCTTAAAAAGAATCTCTGCTGCTTAACATATTAAGCAAATCACTTAAACTTCTTCATCAATATAGTGTTTCTTTTTAGCACTACCCTCTTCTCAAAATATACTAGAAGGATTTTTAATATTAAAACATTAAAAATTGGCAAAATACCTTTTACAATAAACTTAAAAATCAGATTCTCATCCTTATTATGTTAACTAAGTTGGGCTGAGTAATCCTACCTTTAAATATATAATAGTTAACCATTAATATTACTATAATATTATTAAAACAAATAGAATATGCTATAAATTACAAAAACCATTAAATTTGCCATAAATTTAAATGGATCTATACACTACATAGTTTGAAACTGCATCAAGATAAAAGTAAAAACATACTAATCTAACTCAATTTAAACTTTACAGATTTCTCTCTTAGTCTTTTTGATTTGATTCATCAGCAAACGGTTATTTTTAATTGCTTCCATTTCTTTATTGGCAGCAAGACTTATAAATCTTGCCCAGAAGGACTTCATTCTGTATTATCAATGCATTATATACTGTTTCACTAAATACAATTTATACTATGCCATAAACCACTCATTTCTTTTTTGAACTGGCTACTATTAATTCCAACATTTTTTAATTTGTTAATGAAAGGTAAAGTACACACAGTGTGTGATTTAAGTACAGTATTTTTCTCTAGTGTTTGAATATTATTTACCCTATTGTACTGTTACAGTGCCTTAGCTATTAATAAATTTTGGTGATGCTTATAATACTGTTTAAGTATCACACAAAGTTCTTATGAAAATTTAATTGTTCATCCATGCTATGAAAGACAAACTGACATTTTAAAAAATCACTAAAGCATTAAAATCATAAATCATTATAAAAATGATAAATCATGAAGAAATTTTTTATTATAATCTTTTAAGAATGTTGTAACAGCAAGTCACAATGAAAATATGCCTGTACTTTTTATTTTTCCATAAACACTAAACAGATTTTACTATTCTCCTTTCCTTAATAATATTTCTTTTTCAATAACATTCACTTTAATCAAGTCCTTTGATTAACTTTCCAAAAGAACAAAAGATTCTGAACGTTAGAGCCTCAAGAACATCAAGTTTCTCCATTACTCGCTATTAATCCAAAGACATACACTAAAATGATTCTCGAATTTTTAGACCAACTTTTTGTAGACAAAATATAGTATATATTATTATAATTCATTATGAATGCTTTCAGTCTACAAATTAAACCAGGTGAAGAATTCAGAAAGCTGTCACAATCCATCCATATATTTTTACCTTATTTAAGTCCTCCCTTTCTTGCTGTAATGCTTTGATTTGCTTTTCATAAGCCTTGATTTGTCTAAAAGCATCATCTAGTTCTCGCCTCACAGAATTAGCTTCTTCAAGTTGCTGTTCCAAGTGACTTGATTCTAAAGAGAGAAGAAAATGTTTCTTTTACTATTTGTATAAAAACAAATGCTTGAAACCAAGGTTTAAAACAAGTAAATTTTTTAAAAAATAAAGTATTTTGAGTTTGGTGTTAGGCTTACTGACACCACATCCCACTATGACTCATGACAATTAAATGTTTCTCAGTTCACTGTAAAGATGGAGTACAGCTAATGCCAGTGTGAAAATGTGCAAAATTTTTGCACAAAACTTCGGTGCAAAAATGCTTTACATATCTATCAGAAAAAAAAGACCATACTTCTAAAAACGGTACCTTCAGAACCAATTAAAAACTTAAAACTAACAAAAAAGATGAAACCAACCAAACAAAACACACACGTTCTCCTCTACTATTGGTTAGCATTCTTGTGCTGATGTTAGTCAAATTATTTTAAGGTGGTTTTGCTTCTAATATTGTGATTCAAGATCATCCAGACTGGTTTCACTAGTGGTGATTTGAAGAATAAATTTCAATTTCTAAAACTAAATTATTTGAAAACTTCTGATCTAGGTCAGTTCCTCCATTTTTCAGATGAAGAAACTAAGGCTCAGGAAATGGAATAGCTTACCTAAGGTCACATTGCTAAATGAGTTCCAGATAAGACTAGAGCCCAGGAATTCTTGCATCAACCTCTCCAACTTGAAAGCGCTGTTATTAAACAACGTTTAACATTACCAGTTCAGACGAGTTATGAAACAAAATAAAATTATTAATTTTAACATATGCTTAACTAAAATTTAGTAAATTGATATGAAATAGGGGTGAGACTGGTGGTGTAGTAGTTAAGTTTGCATGCTCCACTTCAGCATCCCAGAGTTCATGGGTTGAGATCCTGGGCACGGACCTACATAACGCTCATCAAGCCATGCTGTGGTGGCATCCCACATACAAAATAGAGGAAGATTGACACAGATGTTTGCTCAGCGACAATCTTCTTCAAGCAAAAAAAAAGAGAAGGATTGGCAATGGATGTTAGCTCAGAGCCAATCTTCCTCACGAAAAAAAAAAAGGATTTATATGAAATATTTCTGGCATCAAACAAAAGTTAGCAAATTAAAGAACTGAAGCCAGTGAAAACAGAAAAATCTGAACACATACATTTACTTTTGTTCTGGATATTCTCTATTCTTTACAACCTTGTTACTCAGAGTGTCATCCCCAGACAAGCAGCATTAGCATCCTTTGGGAGCTTGTTAGAAATGCAGAATCTCAGGCCCTACCCCACACTGAACGACTCGGAGTCCGTACTTTAACAAGATCTCCAGGGCACTCATTTGCAAAGTGAAGTGTGGGAATGAACGTGCAAAGCGTTGCCCATTGCTGAGTCTGCTGCTTTCAGTAAATGAAGGAGTGCTTGTACCATGTTAGTTCTACTGAAAAGAGCACTTCATTGGTATGAACGAGTCCTGTAGTCAAAAAGTCACAAACTCATCAGTGTATCACACACTAACTGGTTCTAAATTCCTTAAACAAAATAACTGACTGATATTCAGGGTCTTAAACCTACAGATTTATTAAAAGTTTATTTATCTTAGGTATTTTGAAAGTCTAGATACATTTATAGATAGCACAGTTTTAACAATTTTTTAAAATATCGCCAAGCTGCATTTAGTTTTAATTTTGTCTTAATAGTATAATTTAATAAATGTTTTACTTGAAGAACACTAAAAGATCACAGGATGTTTAATCTTAAGGATCACAGGGTATTTAGTCATATTCAGAAATTATATTTTATCATTTTGTCCAATTTCAGCATTTCACGTGGGAAATTTTCTGTTTATACTAATTTTTCCAGACATTTTTCAAATGATATTTTTCTGTTATTTTAGGATTTCAACAATTTGTAAAGTAGATATCAATTTAGTTTGCTATTTCTAATAATTTGGAGTCAACATTTAGTGTGTGACACAGCTGACTTCTGTCATTTCTGGGGTCATTTTAATTAAACTTCATGGTTAAAGTCTATCGATCTAGAGGACTAATATGGTCATTCAGTAATCCCTTCTGAGAACACTCACTTCCTTTCTTCTACTTTGAAGAGTTCCTCCCTAGCATGTTAAACTTTTTTGCAAATTGAGTCATTCACTTAACTGCTCTTTGTTAGAAACAAAAATGAAATCAGTATTTCATAAAATGTCTGCATCATATAAAGTTTATAGCAAAATGAATTACATGAGATAGTTTCAATAGGCTTAAATGATGTTTTTCTTATTTTATTTCAATATAGGCTGAATTTTAGTTTTATCCCAGCCATTTCACTGTGGCTGCTTTGCAATAGAGTTGTTAATCATATATATGAAATATATGATTATATGTTTATGTCAGAATTCTATGTCATATTTTCATATTCCATATTTCAGACACTGTCTAAAAAGCTCAAAATATTCATGTAAACAACAACATGTAAATTATGAGAAGTATAAGAGGAAATGTACTGGATAAAGAAGTGTTGGAGGAGACACACCCATCCAATTATTTATAAAATCCTCCAATAGGGAGAGAAGTATAGCACTTGTAATTTGAAATACATATAATTTTGCATTCTCCAAAGATAAAAACGCAAAATCAAGAAAAATCCAGAATACATTGAACTTCAGCCAACCACTGTAAAATGGCTAAGGCAGAGGAGCCTTTACTTTCATACAATAAATAATAAATTCAATTAAAACTTTGAAAGAACCCTCAAAGACTACCAAATATATCTCAGGCAACACAATTAGCCATAACATTTAGATAAAGTTATGAAAAACTAGTTTTAGTGAATAAATAGAAAAAGTAGCACTAGGAAAGTGGGTTAGCTCATACCCTCTAAATAGTTCTTAGCTCACTGGTGCTAGCAGAATTCTGAAGTTCGATCTGTTAGTAATGAGGATTTCATGAAGGCATAATACATAGTAAGTGATTTTCTTTGCACTGTGTGGCATATAAGAGAAATATAAAATATGGTCTCTGTCTTGAAGGAGATAAGTTAGGAAGAAAAGAGTAACACTCTTTAAATCACAAACAAAGCAGAAAATCAAGTGTAAATTGTGCGGCAGGTTATGGGCGCCAGAGGGATTAAGAGAAGGGCAAAGGGGGCCCCTGACTCAAGCAGGACTTCAAGCGGAACACCAGTAAGCTGCAGAAGGGCTAAGACTGGAGTCGGAGGGAGGCTGGCAGAAGAGTCACAGCACCTCTCTCTTTCCACTATGTTCTTATTCCTAAAATAATTCATAACTCTTCTGAGTCACAAAGAGATCTTACTTATAACCATCATGGGGAAAAACACGTTTCCCTATCATCTCCTCCTCGATTCACTATCCTCCTCCTCTACTTACACGACGTAGGACAGTGTGTGTGTGTGTGTGTGTGTGTGTGTGTGAGAGAGAGAGACAGAAAGAAGGAGAAAGGGACAGAGGGAGAAACAGAAAGAGTGAGACTCAGACAGTACATGGAGGCCCAAACCACCAACCTTGAGGTAATAAAAGAATGGGGGTTATAAAGCACATTATAAGTTACAGTAAATGTTTTGTTTAGGAAACAAAAAAGCATTCCTTTACTTTCTCATATAAAAATATTAGATGAAAGTATGAATTTTTATTCTTGTCTGCAGATGGTCAACAATAATGTACTGAGTGTCCATTATATGGTACCCGGAAACTTTGTGCTACCCTCTTGGAGTTTAGAGTGTGATGAGGAAAGTAGATAATAAAAAGAAATTGTAAACAGTTATAATTTATAATTTACTAAATTTTTCTAGGAGTTTAAAAATATTGGAAAACATTGCCACAGGAAAAGAAAAGATATAAAGACATTAACAGTGGGTATCTGTTTACACAAAGACCTGACTTAAGAAGTCTCTAGAGGAACATTAGATGGAAGGTGATTTGGACACTTTTTTCCCTTAGATCCAGGGCTCAAGCTGGGGCTACTCAACAGGCGGGTCCTCAGGGGAGCCCGTTTTTTATCCCCAGTTCTTACGTCAAAATATTTAAGACAGCTTGGGTGTAATTAGGAATGAGACACAGATTTTATCCTCAACCTTACCACTATGCCTCTAGCACCTAATGTAATTCTTGGAACATAGTGGCAACTCAGCAAACATGTTTATGGACTGAATTAAGAATGAAATGAATGTTGCTGGTGGGAATGTAAATGATATAGCCACTGTGGAAAACAGTATGGCAATTCTTAAAAAAATTAAACACAGAATTACCATATAATCCAGGAATTCCACTTCTTGCTATATATCCAAAAGAAGAGAAAACAGGGACTTGAACGGATCTTTCTGCACTCACGTTCATAGCAGCACTATTCATAATAAACAAAAGATGGAAGCAACCCATAGGTAGGAATAAAGTAAAAGAAGGAAATCTCAAACAATAGGAGTTTAGTGGTAAACAATTTCCCCAGTTAGGGTGACTCCTTCCAGGGACCATTTATTTGTGTGTAAGGGATGAAAGTGTGTTGGGAATTGCCTGTAAAGACACCATATAGAAAGACAACTTAGGAAGTGGTCAGAGAAGGTTTCCAAGAGTGAGGTTTCATTTACTCACTTATTCATTCATCAACAAATACTGATTTAGGGTTTTTAATGTGCCAAATACTATTACAGGCACTTGGATATACCAATAAATGAAACAAAGTTGCTGTTTTCAAGAAGAATATAGTCTAGTGATGAAGTAAGGGAAATAAAGGAATATACAAATAAAAAAAATATGTCAACTGGGTAAAGTTTTATAGAGGAGCAGAAGTTTGCCAGGTGAAGAATGTTTCCAGCAAACAACCATGCAAAAATGAATGAAGGAAGGAAGGAAGGAAGGAAAGAAGGAAGAGGGGGTGGAGAAAGAAAAGAAAAAAATAACAACAAAATAATGTGAAAAACCTGGAGGCAATTAGTGAAACTAAAAGTAGTTCACATTATGGCTAGAATCAGTGGGTGAGGGAGGAGTAACAAGAGATGGAGCCAGAGAGGTAAATACACGCAGGATAATGAAGGGC